GGATCTCATATGATTAAAAAGCTTTTGCACAGCAAGAGAAACTACCAACAGAGTGAAGAGACAACCCACAGTGTGGGAAGAAATGTTTGCCAGCTGCTCCTCAGACAAAGGATTACTATTGAGAACATAGAAAGAAAATCAGACCTCCCAAATTCAAAGACCCAATCCAAAAATGGGCATCTCAGATGAATACATACCTCTCAGATGAAGAAACACAAACAGCAAATAAATATATGAAAAAATGTTCAACGTCTCTGGTCATTTGAGAGAAGCAAATTTAAACAACACTGGATTCCATCTCACTCCAGAAAGAATGGCTATTATCAAGAAATCAACCAACAATAAATGCTGGAAGGGCTATGGTATACAAGGAATCCTTCTCTGCTGTTGTTAGGATTGTAGACTGGTGTGACCACTGTGGAAATCAATGTGGAGATGCCTCAGAAAACCTAGAATTGGAGGCTCCATTAGACCCAGCTATTCCCCTTCTGGATATCTTCCCAGAAAAATTAAAATCATCATACCACAGCAATATTTGTGCACTCATGTTTGTAACAGCATAATTTATAATAGTCAGATCTTAGAAACAACTCAAATGTCCATCAGCTGAGGAATGGATAAAAAAAATGTTGTCTTTTTATACAGTGGAGTACTACTCAGCCATAAAGAAAGATAAACTGGAAACTTTTATACATAAATGGATGTAACCCAAGACCATAGTCATAAATGAAATAAACCAGATGCACATGTGCAAGCATCATGTTCTCCGTAGTGAGAAGCTGAAAGAGTAAATAAGATCCAAAATGTACAGTAGATATTATAAAATTATATAATTTATAATTATATAAATTATAAATGGGGAGAAACTTCAAAAGGAAAGAAAAACTAATAGGGGAATGGAGAAAAGAAGGAAAGAATAGATATGGATATGGATATGGATATAGGTACAGATATATACCACATGCCACGCCGGCCCTGCCCCCTGGGTGCCCTGAGCCAGCCACAGAATCCTGGCATGGTGGCACATGCCTGTAATCCCAGTGTAAGAGAAGGTGAAAACAGGAGGATCACCACGAGTCTATAATCTACGTAGTGAGACCCTGTACCAAATACACAAATGAAAATAAATAAATATGTTTAAGGTAGTTGTGCTTCTAGTTTCTCTTATTTCATTGAAAAGAAACATTGGTGCTAATATTATTTGGACTATTAAATGCCAATATCATACTCTGAGTAGCTAATTTAAAGATAACAAGACACAATCTCTTAACCATTGTTACCTTTCTAATATCTTGTTTTGACATTTTTTTCTCTTTAAAATAAATTTTTTTAGGGGCTGGTGAGATGGCTCAGTGGTCTAAAGCACCTACTTAGAACAAGCTTAGCAAAGCACAGGGACCGTGGTTCAATCCCCCAGCACCACATGCCGGCCAGCCCCGCCCTCTGGTGGGCTAAGCTGGTCACACAGACACACACACACACACACACACACACACACACACACAAATAAATAAATAAATTTTAAAAATAAATAAGTAAATAAATAAAATTTTTTAAAAAAGAAAAAAAAATGTGCTCCACGCCATTCTGCTGTCTGAGAACATGGCTTGAGGGCCATCTTTTGTAAGCCAGCAGCTTTTCTGTTTGTCTCACTGTCGACCTTGAGGAGAGGGCTTCACTGTGCCCCCGCAGAATGACAGATGGGGAGTGCAGCCTCTGGTAGGATAGGCTGGATAACACGCACTCAGTGCCTCCGTTGTCTAAGTTACCACCTGGTGCCAACGGACTTGGTGGAAAGCTAGGTCTACAGAGAGCTGTGATGACACCTCATGATGACGACGAGGTGGCCATGGCAGCCCAGGGTCCCAAGGCTCTGTTCTTCCTTCTCCTTCCCACAGTTTACCAGGTGAGGACACTGAGACCTCTCAGTGGATCTCTCAGCATCTCCCATGGGTGGCCCGTCAGGTGCATCAGCCAGCAGCCAACTGTTCTGTGTTCTGTGGTTGCCTGGGGATGAAAAGGGTTGTGTCCACCTATGGGTGTGTGTGTCATGTTTGGTGTGGTTTATGTTAAACATCAACTTATCTCCACTGATGGGCAGTACTTACGGCATTGTTTCCCTTCCTTTTAATGTATAGCATCCCAGCACAATGTTTCTCAAACCTGAGTGACAACAAATCACCTGGGAATCTTGTTAAAATGCAAATTCTGATTCAATACCTCCAGGAGGAGGATGGAACTCCTGTAGTGCCAGTATGCTCTCAGGCGACCAGAATGTTTCTTTTCTTTCTTCTTTTTTTTTAATGTATTTAATACAGGGTCTACAAGGTCTCACTGCACAGATCAGACTCGTAGTGATCCTCCTGTTTCTAGCCTCCCAAGCACTGGGATTACAGGGGCACACCACCACGCCCAGTCTCTGTCTCAACATGTCTGGGGGGGGGGCTTGGCACAGCAGGCCAGGGATCAAACCCCGGTCCCTGCATCTGCCCAAGCAGGCGCTTTAATCCGTTGAGCTATCTGGCCAGCCCAATCAGAATATTTCTGATCCACAGCCCACATTTTGTGTGGCAAGTCTGTAGCAGATGGATGTGTGCTTGAACTTGTGTCTGCACATAAACACAGGAGCATGTAGATATTGGCGTGCACAAAGTCAGGAGCAGACACGTCGTTTTATAGAAGGAAAAACCTCAATCAGAGTTTACCAAAATGCCATCGCATCACAGCAATGCCCTGATCTTGTGCTATGATGAATTATTTGTATCAAGTCATTGTTTCTGTTCTCTAAAACAGCCATTATTCAAAACTTGAAGTTAATGAGTGTATATTGCTCTCCAGGCTCTATTTAAATTGCTTGCGCATCTCATTGATTCTGAAAGCCAATGTCATTTTATTGCCCTCATTTTGATTATATTTTAGAGGTTTATTGATAATCAAATAAACATGAAAGCAAATACTGTAATGGATTTTCTGGTTACTTACTAAAAATGACTGGGTTTTTAAGGAGTCTTTTTCTCCCCCAAGGCTCCATTATGGTTTCCTCTGTAAGCTATCACTTTACTCTCAGTAGAGTGATGTCCATGCAAAGTTGGCTGTTCTGGGAAGATGTATTTAATTTATATGCTTTTGTTTGCCGTAAACTCTTCCAGGTATAATGAGGGAAGCCACCTATCAAGATTGCCTCCCTTTCCAGTCTCCTTAGTGATTTATTGCCGGAGGGTAGGTTGAATATTTAGAGAGGGAAGACTGTTGATTAAAGGGCCAAGAGCATAAATAAAGATAATGATATATTAGCTCCCATTTTTTAATACCTCTTTCATATTGTACTTTGAACTTCTTACTTACATATATTCATGTTTTTTCAATTTAGATCTGCAAACCTGATTGCAAATTATACTTATGGTCCTTTGATTTTACTACTATTCTGGAAGATGCACTGTAACTATGTATTCATGCTTGCATTTAAAGCAGAAAGGGGAAAATCAAAAACAAAAGCAAAAAGACTAAACCAGAACTGAGAGAAGGGTAAAGTAAGATAAGGAACAGGGGCCTGCCCCTTAGCTCAGTTCTTTAAGTGGCTACTTCAACAAAGCAGTCAGGCTCAGGTTGCTGTGGTTGGATCCCCACAACTCAAGGCAGCCAAACCTGCCCTGAAGGCATTCGGAGCAAAATAAATAAATAAATAAAAATAAAAATAAAATAAAGTTAAGGAAAATTTGAGGAGGCCACCAAAAAGAGAAATTTGGGGGAAAAGTTCAGTAAGCTAGATGGATATCGTACTGCAATGTTTTTAAAATAAAAAAGGCAAAAATTATCATGGCACGAAAATTTTTTAAGTAGTTGAAGAGATCTGACTTTACATGCCTAGCTACTGTGACCTTACACAATTATTCACCCCATTGTCTTACCCGGAAACTAGAGTGATCATGGTACATGCCTGCCTGTTAGGATACCTGTCAAAATCATATGCGCTCACATCGGGGAATGACCAACTAGGAAGCCCAGCCCACAGTAAGCACTGCAGTGTCTGTCTGAGAGATTGCTGAATGAAGTCGGTGTCTTACATTTTATGTGACAAGCGTTAGATTATGGGCCCCTAATCTGTCGATTTCATACTTGTGATTCCACAGAGCAACAAGAAGGCGGAGGTCCTTAACCCCATGATCAACAGTGTATTGTTAGAGGTAAGTGGCCCCGGGAGAGAAGGTATTTCTGAATCAGAGCAAACATTAGTACTAGATTTCTTTTCTTCTTTTTTTTCTTTTTTCGTCTTTCTCTTAGGCAGCAAGTGTTACTGTGATACTTCTAAATCTTATCAGCAACAGGTTTTTTTTTAGTACATTTGTATAGCTCAACCAGCTGTAAACCCTCTGGTGAAGCAACAATACCTAATTTTCAAGAATCTCTGATTATAAAAAGAAATGCTAAGCCCGCACGTTATTTCTGTCACTGTTTCCTCCAGCCAAGGCAGATTTCTGTTGCCAAGTCTGGCACTAGATTTAACACTATGCTTATTGGCTACGATGAGAAATTACTGCTACATGGTAATTTTCGTAAAAATGGGCATTTCTTTCCCTTCACAATAACCTGTTGTTTGGCTGTGTCTAAGCTCTGGAATGGCAAACAATGACAGAATATATGGCCTCTGCCCATTCAGTGAGAAGGGCACCATCCACTGTGATGCCTCACTTCATGGCCAGCCTGTACATCAGGACTGTGTCGCACCACTTGTTCCAGTGGGAAGCCTCCCCAACACTGGTGTGGCTTTGTTAGTAACAGTGATGTAAGAGATAGGAAAAGAGGCCAAGCGAGCCTTCTCATCTTGGAGCATGCACACTGCGTTCTGTCAGTGGCTGTTGGGGGAAATCCTTACGCTGTGGGCAGAACATCTGTAGACTTGGGCATCCACCAAATCCACAAGTTGTCCACACGCTGAGACTGCACATGGCAAGGCTTATCCAGTCGTGTTTGCTTTCTCAAGTAGCTGTCAATGGTAAGATTGGGAAAAGACACAGCTTTCAGAGGGCTGCGTAAATGTATCTGCCAGTGTATTTGGGGCTTGTGCTTTATTACTGAGGAAAACCAGCCAGGGACAAACGTGGCAGTGAGAATGCTAAAAGCTAATCCAGTCACAAGAGGCAGTGGAGCCAACGAGAAGAGACAGGAGCTATGGGGACAGGACCAAAGGGACAGATACACACAAGAGGAAACCTTGGTGGTCAGCAATCAAAACAAAAACAAAAGTATCTGATTAATTAGACCAGTTACCTCGTAAGTCATCACACATATGAGGGCAAATGTTTATTCCCCTAGTAAAGTTTCACATTTTATTTACCCTAAGCTTCATTGATTAATTAACTGATTGCAACACGGGGGACTGAATCCAAGGTCTTCATGCTGAGTTACATACTTAGCCTTGTTTGATTTTATTTTGAGACGGGGTCTTGCTGAATTTCTCAGGCTGGCTTCAAACCTGAACCCTCCTGCCTCAGCCTCCCAAGTAACTGGGATTGCAGGCATGTTCAACCACGGCAGCTGATTTATTTTACAATTTATTTTACTATACTGGTGATCAGACGCAAGGCATTGTGCTCTGCCACTGAGCTGCCTGCAATGGCCCATCCCAGACTTCAGTGTGCTCACTATTTAGTACTGCTTCATAAGATACCACAGAGCAAAAATAGCAATAGCAGATCTACAAACCAAGCAAAAGGTATCAGCATGCATAAGTGGGTGGCAATGTCCAAGGATTGGGCCTTAATAAACTTGCAAGATCTCCAGTTAGCTTTCTGTAGACCATTCTACTTATAGAGCTGTAGGTTAGAATGTGACCCTCTTCATACTGGGCTTGCATATGGTTTCTGGGTAGACAGATTGATTTAAGAAAGGGACAGATAAAACTGGACATATTGGGTCATGGATACGCACACATATGTATGTGCCTTAAAAGCCCATGGAAGTGGTTTGCCTCATTTTGAGTGAATCCTGTTACTACAGATAATAAAGAACTGGCCTATGTCTGCAAGGGTGGGTTTGCATTTGCTGTGAGCAGCAGCAGCATTGCCAGCCGTGTATAATGTCCCAGCACGGTAATGTTTGCTCTATTCCAGGAGAATTGTCGAGCCTGAGCTACAGAAATAACCTGCAAAAAAAAAAAAAAAAAAAAAAAGAAAAAAAGAAAGAAAGAAATAACCTGCATCTACTTTTTTTCTTTTCCCGCATCTACTTTTTACCTCTCCCAGGGCTGCAACAGCACAACATACATCCAGGATGCCTTCCAGCTGCTGCTGCCTGTCCTGCAGGCCTCACACATCCAGAGCAATTGTTCGAAAGCACAGCCGTGACCTTGCGCGGTGCCGCACTGTGTGCGCGGGCACCATGAAAGCAGATGTTTTGACACAACTGGCCCAGGACACCCATTGGAGAACACTACATGCAGTTTTGCACAGACAGTATTAAGAATGAAGGTTTAAAGGGGGTTACCATTTGCAGTGTATATGGTTGTTTTTGCAAATAATTGTGTTTTCTTTATGTTAATTTAAACTTATACAGTTTATATTGAAAGTTTCCTTTCACCTAAAATTCATTCATACATATTCATGTCTGCTTTTCCTGGTCAAGCGAGTTAGAGATCCAGAGGCAGACCCTAGATTTTTTTAAATCTTAAATTTCTACCTTTAAATGTCACATCAGTTTGTATACTAAACTTTGTTTTGTTGCCTAAATGTCATAGGCAACAACATTACTTATAGAGTTTATTGGCTGTGGTATAAGGGAAACATTAAGTATCACTTTATAGTCATTCAGTCTTGCAATAAGCATTTATTGAGCACCTACTGTGTGCTCACAATAAAAAAACAGTCTCACTCCAGGTGAGACAGGTGCTCTGAAAGAGGGTTTACAAGACAATTCTTAAAATACTTTGAAATACTAATGAATTTTCTAAGTCTTAAGACATTGGAGAACAAGGTAAATTGGTACTTTTTGAAATGTTCTACCCTTCAATTTATTCTCTTTTTCTAACCTCCTTGAACATTTTTAATCCCAAACTTTAAATATAGGGTAAAAATGTGTGTGAAAAAGTGGATGAGCGTGTATTTAGTTTAAAATTGACTTCTTAAGATCGTGAGCACACAGTGGCCTAATTTCAAAGCTTGGAAGTATTCTAATTGAAAATTGAAGGGATCTCAGAACTGAGTTTTAAAAATCTACCCTGATCCCATTCACTGGTCACAAAGGACAGAAAATACTGGCCTGCGGGTGGCTGGCTCATGTGCTGAAGGCCTTCTTTGCATGTGGGGGACCTCATGATGGACACTTCTGAGTCCCACACAGTCATCACGGGTGACACTGTGATGCTCCTATGCCACGCCCCGCTGACATCCCTATCAGTGGTGTCAGAGGAACCTTTGCCCCGTGGCTCTCTCCAAGGCAAATGAAGCTCGTAGCTTTGCAAGGGGTGGAAATCCTTTGTTCTCATTTGCTTCTATTCCCCAGTAGAGTCCACGGCCTTTGTTCCCTACAGACTACATAGGGATATTTTAGTATCTTCCTGCTTCTCATTAGCATTTTGTTTGTCTTTGTTCTGTATTTCATTTGTGTATGTCCGAAACAGCCAAACAGAAAACAGCAGAACAATTTCTTTACAACTTGGAAAAATAAGATTCTCTAAGAAATCAATTAAAGATGTTTCTTCTCTTTTTTGATTGCCTGAGTGTTTCTGTTCCTAAGTCTAGAGGTGATTAACCGATGAGAATGCTGCACTTTCTTCTTCCTGCATTTTAGAATTTTTATATATAAAGCAGAGAAAAGGCATATTATTTATAATTTCTCACAATTTTTTAGCATTTCTGATTAGAAATGTGAAAGAAAAATATTTTCAAAGGAGCTAGATTTATAGACTTAGGCTTTAAATCTAACTATACCCAACTTCAAGCACAGGAATCTTTAATAGGAAATAAAGTAGAAATTTAAAAAAAAATAAGAGGAAATTATTCAAAAAAGGTGGTTAATATTTCTGACATTGCATTTAACTTTTAATGATATAATGTCAAAGATTGCCAAGTGCAGACAGACTGAGAAATGATTCCCTGTTTCATGGTCTGTGAATTACGTTATTAGGGAGGGAATAATCATTCACTATTTATCCACCCTCTAGGATTTCTCTCAATACTAGTTTTCACTATCTCTTTAAATAATTGCTTCTTTGCTCGGCTTTAGAAACTGGCAAAGCAGAGAATTCATATGTGGACAAATGTCAGTCGGTTACTGAATGAATGATTTAGCAGGATTACCATGAAAGTTTTGTATTTCTTCAGTAATCCTTTACGTAAATTGGATTCATTGCACTCTATGCAATTATTCTGAACAGGCATGCCAGCTTTTCTCTTACATCAAATGCAAAAAAGTTCTAGTCTAAATAATGAATGTAGTCCTGTGCCTGGGCCTGATTAAATAAAAAGCATCTCAAACATATTTCAAATTCAAAGTAAAATGCATTCAAGAAAAATTGCTTTGGGGTATTAGAAATACACAGATCTCAACAACAAAATTGAGTTCCAAATCTTAAAGCATAAGCCTAAGCTTAAATATTTAATCCCACTGAGAACAGAAATCTCTAGTTACACTGGGTCTTCCCCTGGGCTACACATCCAGCTCAGAGTTGACTGTGGTGTGGTCAGCTGAGGCTGTTGCAGGAGTGGACAGAGATGTGCACAGCCTCGGCCACAATACCTAAGGCAGTGACAGGGAACCTTTCAATGACAAATGGCCCACTGTGGAACACATGCTGTAGGTTCGCCACCACTGACCTAAGGGATGTGCACCCTCAGCATACCTCAGAGGGGAAGGCTGTGCAGGCCCGGGGGCCGAGGCTGCTGAAAGGAAGAGCTGAATATACAACAAAGCCCTGAATGCAGTGATGGGAATGTTTCCTTATGCTTCAGCTGCAGTAACCAACTGCTAGAAGTACTCATATCGCCAAAGTCACCTTCTGCATAGGCTGACTGAGTTTATGTTAGAAAAAAGGCAGGCAGACCAATTCGAATCATAACTATTTCAGAGGTCCAGGGTCAGTGAAATAATTCAGCAAATTGATAAAAACATTGCATTGCTCTTTCCTTAAGAAAAATTGTGTGTGTGTGTGTGTGTGTGTGTGTGTGTGTGTGCTGACCAGATGGCACTGATGATAATACATAGCTTCCAATGCCATTTAATTTTATAAAGGCAATTATTTTACAGGGTCAGGCTAGGTTTTTGTATAATGTAAAAATTGCCCTTTGATCTTTCCCCTAAGCGTGTCTTACATTCTAATACTCAGACCCAGGCTTCAACTTGGTTTCTTAAATTACTGTATTTCTAAAGGCACATCACAAGAGATCATACTGAAAATCCATCTTAGAGCTGCAATTTTGTCTGGTTTTGTAGTTGATCAGAATTCATAATGCCATAGGAGTGGATTCAGACCAGCCATTCTTCACATAAAAGAAAACAAATGATGTGGTTAACCATGTGTTTTATTTGTGTGAATATTTCATCCCTTAGGCAGTTTTATGTTCAGTTTCTGTATGTTTGCCCATATGAGATGGTCTGCTAACATTTCTTCTATTAAACTGTTCTGAGGGCAGATCGCCTTGTATTCGTTTGTTTCCTTAGATCCTGCAAATAATGAATTATTCTACCCTTTCAACAGTTCGCCTTTAGCAATGATTAAATTATTACAACTCAACCAGTAAAAAAATGTATTGATAGGATTTCTGCTATTTCTAGTATCCAAGATCATCAGAGTCCGGGACCAAAAGCTGAATGTGGAGGGTGAGAATTTTGTGTTGGGATTTAAACTAAATTTACCTTTATCTGGATCAGAGAGGATTTTTCTCTGCATGAGCTGTCAGCCAAAAAGCAATAGGATTCTGTCAGCCTGTGGTCGCTAGATTCACCTGACAGGTCTGCCTCTTCTATTAGCCTCAAAGGAATTTCTGGGCTGCAGAGGAATAATATGTGTACTTCTTAAATGCCTTCAGTGAGTGTAGAAATTTGGGGTGATTTGGAGATGATCTATCTCCCTGCCCTGGCTTTCACTACCAGGCTCCTCAGATGCTATTTGGAAGGAAAAAACAGCAGAGAAGCCAAGGCCAGATGGGTGAAACCCTGGCAAAAAGCAAAACTAAGCTTCTGCCTTCTGTGTCCTTGCCAGCTTTATTCTTTTCCTCTCTCAGGATTTTTTTAAAACAATTCTAAGTACCTGGCTTCCAGAATTAGCTTGCAACAATCTGCCTCAATTTTGTCTATGTCTTGTTCCCTTCTCATTTTCTATGTTTATGCTCTCCTTACTTAACAGAAAACCACCTATGCAGGCGATTTAAATCATAATGATATATATTTACTGGGTGCTGGGTTCTGCTCTGAGTGTTTTATGTATTGTACATTCTCCTGTTTGCCCCCACAGTTGCCTTACAGGTAAATACAATTTCAGCCTCCACTGCCCCACAAGAACACTGAGGCCCAGGGAGCTCACACAGCTGGTCCACAGTTCTACAGAACAGCAGAGCAGCCAGGACTCAAGCCTGCATCAGACCTGAGTAGCATTTTGAACTATTACACAGAGCCCCCGACAAGAGAAAAATGTAATAGATTATTTTTAGAGACAACTGGACCCTGAGATTTACATGCTTAGCTCTCTTGAAGCCTTGAGCTAGATCTGTTGCTGAAAGCTTTGGTTGTCAGCTTTGCTTGTTTCATGCACCTAAGAATGAACTGGGACTAAGAGACGCAGAATGAAGCCACAAGGGGTTCTCCGGCCCCTGAGTGGTTCGCACCACAGGCTTCTTTATTATTTCACAGGCATTTCCTGTCAAGCAGCTCAGTGTGCTGGTCCTGTTTGATGGCTCTGAAGCTGCTCCATTGTGTCCTCCTTCTCCCTCCCCCGGCTCTGATGCAAGGGGAGCCTATATGTCAGTCAACACCATTTCTGAAAATCCTGAACTCTACCCACTTCCTCAAGCATTTTTAAAAGTGCTTTTCCTGCCTTGAAGACGACAGATCTAGGCAGCCTATAAGCTGCATCTTCAATACCAAGTTCCATGAGGTACTAAATACTGCTTTCCTTTATCCTCACTTGGTGCCCTTCCCTGTGGAGGCCAGGAGATGATGATGGTGATGATGATGCTGGCCTCTGTCGTGTATGTGCTGTCGAAGCCACCATGGTGATGGCCTCTCTGCTGACCGAGAGCCTGCCTGTGTTAGACCCCTACTGTAAACACCAGGTTTCTTTGGTCTCATTTAATCCCCAGATCAACCTTCTGAGATCACCTCTATTATACCCATTTCACAGAGGAAAATGCAGCTCAGGGAGATGAAGTAATGTACCTGGAATCATCCAACGAACTATTAGAAAGGCTGGGTTTACATCCAGACAAAACCCATGGCAAGCAGATACTTGGTCATAAATAATTTGCTCATTTTTCCATGGGCTGAATTCTCTTCCGTCTCTGGGCTCCCCTCTCTCTGTCCTGTGGCCTCAAGCAGAGACAGTTTGCTCCCCAGTTTCCCTGTCAGAGGGCTAACCACATTTTCCAGGCGATACCTCTGCTCCCAGGAGATAGTGGGAAGCCTCCACGCCCATTCCCCTCATGTTTTAGACTGTATGTGTTGAATGAGTCATTGTCCTCTGAAAACTGGTCACCTTTGTGTCTTTTACAAGGAAGGCACTAGAGGGAAGTATGATTTGGGTGGGAAATCTCACTGCTAATCAGTGACAAAGGACAAGAAACCAAATGGTGAACTGCAGGGCAGAAAAGACTGACCAAGGGGCCGGAGAGATAGCTCAACCTTCTGAAGTGTCTGTTTAACAAGCTTAGTTCAATCCCTAGCACCACATGGCACATTAGCTCCACCCTCAGGGTGGGCTAAGCTGGCCAGAAAAAAAAAGACTCTGGCCATTTCTCTGTCAGAAAAATAATTCATCTGTTCCTAGAGAACCTCTTAGTTAGGAATACTTTCACTCCAGCACTCTCCCAATTCCGCCTTCACTGGTACTTTCCTTTCTCTTTTTTTTTAATGTATTTTTTTACTTCACAGCTTGGACTCGTAGTGGTCCTCCTGTTTTCAGCCTCCCCAGCTGGGATTATAGGTGTGTGCCACCAAGCCCAGACTCGGTGGCCAGCTCAGCACTCCTGGAGACAGAGCTGGCAGGGCGTGTGGTACCAAGGATCAAGCCTGGGTCCTTGCACTTGCCTAAGTAGGTGCTTAATCCACTGAGCTATTTCACCGGCCCTCCTTCACAATTTCTGATCTTTATTGAAAAGCCTATGGATGGAGGCACCTTCCCCGCTTGATGGTTTTCTCTTCAGGATGTATCACTGTCTAGCACCCTTCACGTCTTACTCATCTGCTGTCTGTCTTATACCAGGAGATCATTTCCTTGAGAGCAGGGAATTGTGTTTGGCTTGTCAGCATCTTCCCATCACCATAAGCTGTGTTTGACACACGGTAGATGCTCAGTGACTATTTGTAAATGAACAAATATGTCCAGATCTCAGGTGTATAATCTGTCAATGCTGAATGAGCCCCCTTGTAGGAAATGGGGAATTGTTGTGTTGTGTAGTCAAATTTTGACTATGGAAGCAAACTGTGTTCACTGGAACAATATTTGTTGTGGCACAAATGGTAATATTTGGAGACTTACAAATGCATAGTTTTAAA